AGAGAGAGAGAGAGAGAGAGAGAGAGAACAGGCTTTGAGATGGATAACATAGTTCCATTCTAGCAATTATATATTTCCATTATTGCCTTTGGGTTTGAACATTGTTTAAATACCCCTAGAGTAAAACAAAGGCAACATTGAGATTTAGAAGAATATTAGCAATAGGATTTATCATCCTGAAAAAGATGGGGTTTTATTTGCCATTTCAGGATTCAACACTGCAAAGGGGGACCTCGTGAGATCCATTCTTTATCCCAAGCCAATGAGTTTTAAGCTCTACAGAGATGCAATCAGGTTCCTCTTGTGCCTCGTGGGGACGGCCACCATTGGCATGGTCTATACTCTGTGTGTCTATGTGCTCAGTGGGGTAAGCTGTCTTTGCTCTCTTATTATGTGAACACATTCACTCTTTGTATATTGTATGATCTACATGTTGACCTTACTCATGGACACGGTTTACAAACCTAGGAAGCAAAGCCAAACCCTGAAATTTGCTCACAGGCTCAATGTAAACAATCGATCGATAAGTTCCATAATAACCATCAGATCTTGTGGGATAGTGGGATAAAAGGATCTGTTGACTGAATATCAACATGTTTCTACTTTTGAGCACTTTAAATCATTTTTTCATTTTCAATCTGAAATATGTTTCAATAAATTACTGTTTTGTACCTACTAAAATGAATAATTTTTATTTATTTATTTTAAAGGGAATAATAAAAAAAGAACAATAACAAAATACCAACAACATAGACCAAAACAAAACAAAGCAAAAACAATAAAAATAATACAAGGTTTCCGAACAAAATGATAGGAATTAACAGTGGCTGAGCAAATTCACTGAAGATAACAATAGGTAAAATGAAGAATTTTAAATAAAACCAGATGTCCAAAGTTGGTGCAGTCAGAGTAAACTGGTACATTCAGGTAGCAGTATTGTTACAATTTTTTTTTAAATTACAGATATGCGGGGCCAGAGACATGGTCATATCCTTCCACCCACAGGTACCATTTCTCAGAATTGGACCTAGAGAGAAAGAAAAAAGTCCCATCCACAAAGCTGGTCATTGTTGACTGATCGTAATGGCTGCGGATGACTCTTTTCCAGGAGTCTCCAGGCGACGTGGTGAAGAAAGCCCTGGATGTGATCACCATTGCAGTTCCTCCCGCCCTGCCTGCTGCCCTGACCACGGGCATCATCTACGCCCAGAGGAGGCTGAAGAAGAGAGGCATCTTCTGCATTAGTCCCCAGAGGATCACTGTGTGTGGACAGTTAAACCTGGTCTGCTTCGACAAGGTACGTGAGTTCCATTGTCTCTCTCATTGTCCTCTACATCACTGTCGCCATCAGGGACAGGTGCTTTGATCCTTTCATGAGGCAGAAAACATAGGATGTGGGGAGCTTACCTCATTTTTTTCTTGGATGAGTGTGTGATCTGGAAAACACTGAGTTTTCAGATTCTGGGTTTTTGAGAAGGGGGAATAGATATGGAATAGGTGAATTGTTTAAAGTCCATGCAATTTTGACAGCCTGAAAAAAAAAACCAACGGATTAAAATAGCATCCTGTCCTTTGCAGTCAAAACCTTCATAAAATAAAATAAAATAAAATAAAATAAAATGTAAGGCCTTTACTATGGTCACTCCTGGATTCCTCATGCTAAGAATATTGCCTAGCATATAATCAATGCTAAAAAATATTTACTGATTAAGTGAAAAAAGGAAGAGTGCATGAAACTGTCTTACTGTGAGATTTGATTACAAGAAAGCCCCACCCTTGCTGAATGCTCCCATCTGTAATTTATTGCTTAAAATTATTTTTGGTCATTTGTCACTTCCCAATTCCAACTAGCCTCTTACCCCACACACGTGGGCTGGGAGGAAGGTGGACTGTAACAGGGTAAGATAGACATGAGGGGCCCCACCGGCAGGTGAATATGGCGAGGCATGGCTGCAGGTGAACAAGGGAGCGTGTGGCTTAAGGAAAGGCAGGACACTGATATTGGAAGAAGGGATCTATGGACCTAGACTTCTAGCTAAAACAATTGTACATATTATCTAGGCAGCAGAGAGCCATTGAAAGTCTTTGTTGCTTTCATTGACTTCTTTTCCTTTCATTATTGTGGCAATATTTTTATTTATACAATAAATTTTACCACTTTAATTATCTATTATAGATGTCCCACTGGTATTAAGTTCATTCTCATTGTTCTGCAATCATCACCACAGCCATCCTGAGAAATCTCTTCATCCTCCCAAACTAAAACTCTGTACCCATGAAACAATACATGGAAGGTTTTGATGCCTGAGAATTAAAAGGATCAGAGCTTTATTTTATAATTAGTGGAAAATCCAAAAGGTACAACAAACACTGAAGATTAACATGGCTTTTGCCACCATTCAGTATTATTTTTTTATCACACTAGATAAAAGTCATATCATAAAAGTCATTTTGTCATAAGGCAGGGCATTCTACATATGTGAGGTCATATCTGTGGACTTGGATAAAGGAATAAGAGTGGGATAGGCAATCATGACACAAATTTAAATGACAATGAGATTTGCTGTATGCTACATATTAAAATAAGCACTTTATATCATCTCATTTAATGTTCACAAGAACTCTATGTGATTGTGACCAGGTTGCAGAAAAGAGCTTTAATGTTTAGAGGGGTTAAGTGGTTGTTTTCACTACAAAGATGGTATTTGAACTTAGCCTGAACTCAGCCATTATAGTGCACCAAGAGAAGAGTAATGCACACCTTTTTCCGTTACCAAATAAAAAACCATTTCTTTACAGTCTTTTCACTAACAGTGCCCTGTAGGTAAAAATTCTATTCCATTGCTTATTTCTGATGACACGCTTTTGACTTCTACTGTAAACCTGGGACTCGCCCATTTTATAGCTCTTATGGTCTCACCAAGGACTTTCCCATCCATTCATTCTGCCATTAGATCCTCAAAACACTCCTCGGAGGTATGGGAAGGAGATACTGCTTTCTTCTTTTTATCGTCAAGGGCACAAATCTCACAGATCAAGGGCTGGATTGTCATCCAGCTGCTTGCAGGCCACTGAAGCATCAGTCCAGACGGTAGATAACCATCTTATTGGGGCTGTCATCAAGGTGCCCATTCTGCTAACATGTTTGTGACTTGAATTTCTCTATGAAAACATCTATCTTCCCTTGCTGTAGAAGCACCGGCTCTTCGGAGTAATCCACTTCGTTTCTGTTTAGACAGGCACCCTAACTTGTGACGGCTTGGATCTCTGGGGAGTTGTGCCTTGTGACAGGAAGGGGTGAGTACCTTGTGCTCAATACAGTGCAATTTCTCTTCTTCCAGAATTCCTCCTTTATTCTCAAAACTACTCATGGAAATATTGGGGCTTTGGATTTGGTAAACAATGACTGCCAAAGTCTATTGATTTAATTTCTCCTCTTGAATTCTTCCAAGTCTCCCTAAAACACGTACACACAACCCCCAGCCCCCAACTCCATTCTCAGCCCTGTGTCATTCAAAACCCCCGGAGAAGAAGGGGACGCTCTGTTGACACATGCAGAGCTTTGCAGAAACGTCACTTGTTTTCAGCACATTCGTCAGAGGCCTGGCGTTGGGCCAGTGTAAGTAACCGGACACTGGCCTTCAAGGCAGTGACGTTCCTTGTGCAAACCACAGCATTTTGATCAGAGTGCGGAGGAAGAAGAAAGTGTGACTTGTACTCTGACTTTCTGGGAGAGGAACATGTACGGGACTGCAGCTAGTGTTCTCATTTTCCTTGGTATTCTGATTCTGGGATCTCTTTCTTCTGGGTGCCAGAAAAATCTTTTTTTCTTTCTTTCTAGCAATAGGATACTCTTTTTGGCAGTTTTCAACTTGTTGTGGCAAAGACAAGTGCACCCCCTCCTACCGCCCTCTACTGGCCACGTGAGAGTTCGCTCTTCCACCTGCTGTTTCTCCAATGGATGAGCGTGACGCATTTGACGCTTAGGTTTTGTTTGAAAATGAAAACATTTTCCCTTCAACACTTAGACCCTACACCAAAAAGCATTTTACATCTAAAAGTAGATTGCGATTCTTTTCCATTAGGCAGAGAACGTATAATTTATCCAGAAAATACTTATAATTGCACATGGTGAGTACATTCTCATATTAAATACCATTCAGAAACAAATCTATTTTATAGGCTAAAAAATAATCTTGGTGTTTCTAACCATTGTAGTTTACAGAAGAAGTGCTTGTAAATATTAAATTTTCTAGCATTCTTTTCTGTTTTTTCCCAGAGGATGAACTTAAATATATACGGGGGCTTCTCGTTCGTTAGTGTTTTTCTTTGCCAGCTTCTACCAAAAATGTATGCGTTTAAGCAAATATGAGAGCATCTTGAAAAAAATGCTGTTCTGTCCTCATTTGTTTTCCTAACGTTGTAGCTTGGCACCCTCATTGGCTGCCGCAGTAGCCGCCAATACCTGGGAGGCATAGAAGGTGCATGGTAAACGCTCACTGAAAGTCATTAAGTACGCCTGTCTTTTGAATGTCCTACCTGTCGAACTGATAACATATTATTCACAAAACTTTGGGGAACTTTAGATTTCTAAAAATCTAAACTTACTGTATTTAAATAAAATATAACAAACATTATATTTAAATAAAATATAATTAACTTATTATATTTAAATAAAAACAATACCTATAAGATTTAGGTTACTGATTGATCAGTTAGATCTGCCTCCCTTGCTCCCTCTCTTGCTTTTTCTTTTACAAAGGTTAAATTTGGTTTCCAAAGACTAATACAGCATATTAAAATGAAATAAATTGACAACTGTACTTCATGAAATGTGAGGAAATAATTCTAGGTAAGCAGTAAGTGCCTAACTTCTAAGTTATAAAACATCTTCTTGGTGTAGCAGAAAATGCCCCCGGCAGGCGGTATACTTCAGTTTGTTAGTTGCCCAGGTAACAGTTCCTGTTCCAGTTCCACTCGCTTCTCTCTTAGAAATGGCTGGTCACTGTGATGCACATTGTATAAGCCAATCCCTAGTTGACAAGCCATTCTGCTTGCTTATCCCCTATAAGCCTAGACCAGCAGAGATCAGGGCCTTATATTCTGGGAAGGATTCTGATTGGTGCCCATCAACATAAATAAATCTGCCTCCAAATACTGGGTATTGTTTTGGTATTTCCGCTTGCCTTTGCCTCTGGTGTGTTGGCCAGGAAGACTGACCATGCTAACCTCTTTGGTCACTGTTTGTGGCCCTCATGGATGGAGCAAGGACCTCTCCAGACCCTGATGGGAAGGTGGACCCTCAAGAGTTCTTGAGTCCCCTTGGAGGTCTGGAGGTGGATTCTGGCTCCCTGCTCGAGCAGCTCACATTGGACCCCAAAGGGAGGAGTACACAATCTGTCTGTCTGTCTCTCTGCTGGTCTGCCTCATTATGGTAAGAGTCCTGGGGGGATCCCAGTTAGTCAGTCTGTCAGTCTTGCTCAGTTCAAGCAGAAGAGCTTGATCAACTCTTGTTAGTTAAAGCCACCCTCAAGGGAAGGAGGGTTGGAATGTTTAACCTCTGAGTGCCTGCTGAATGAATGTGTGAGTGTGTTAAACAGACAGCATAAGCAATAGGCTGCTCCTTCTGTGCACCGAGACTCTGTAGCACTGATTGCAGTGGCTGATTGGACCCTCACCTGTGATTCCATGGCAATCGACATATGGCATAATGGAGGCATTGTACTGTCCCTGGCTAAGTCATGCCTAAGTCCTTGTGAGGGGCACGGCTAAATGGGCATCTGAATGGTCTCTCTCTGAGGGACACCCACCCTTTGTTGCACTATTGTTCAAGGGTACAGAACACACATGTAGGAAGTCAGAGATGGTAATTAATTAGTCAAAACCCACAGTCCCTGATTGTAGGAAAAAGGGCTTTTACAGAGTTAAAAATGAAACCAAACTGCTTCTTGCATCTCACCGGAAAAAAAAGTAAAAAGAGGCCCATTTTTTTTGAGAATCCCACCTTGGCACCCTCATTGGCTGCTGCAGTAGCTGCCAACACCTATTGCTTCACTCCCTGCTCTCGACTCATCTACTTCAGTTCCAATTGAGCTGGTTCCAGCTAGCCATTGCCTGCATTCAGCCATAGAGGCCCCACCCCATGAAACTTCCGCTTCATGGCTACACCTGTCTTGGTCAGATGGTGTCATCTAATGCCCACCCAAGAAGACTGTGAACAATTCCTTCTGAGTTCCACATTTTGACCTAGGAAAATTGGACTGTCAGCTCTGACAAATGAGTTGCCATGGCCCTTCCAAAGGTTGTCTCACCTAGAAACAACTCAGTCAAGTGCTTCTCAAAGACATCAAAGGGGAGGGGGTCAACATGTCAAAAGTTACTATTATTACTCAGAAACCTGCTATAAGGACTACAGACACTAAGAAATCACTGCCCTTTCAGATTAAAAGACAAGAACTTTCAAAAGCTTCAACCTGGATCAAATGACAACACTTTCATCAGTCTGACAAGTTCAGACTAGACTATTTTGGGCTCCCTTCTTTAGCTGGGCCACTGGGGGCCCATAGTCCCATCACTGGGGTAACTAGGACTCTTGTCTATTACCCCTTCTGCCAAGCACAAACTTGCACTCTGGGAGGACATCTCCTGTGTAAGCCAGGCCCCATACTGCTTCTGGGAAGAGACCTCCCCTTTAAGTTAGAAGCTCCCATGTCCTTTGCACCATGCCAGTCAGCCTCCCTCTTATTTAACACTTCACTTTCAACTCTGACTGTTCCCTGAGAGAAAGATGACACCTGCATCAATCTGAGACAGATAACTGCAATCCTGAAGTTCTGAAAATTCTCCTCCCAGAAATAGGAGCCAAGACTCACCTCCGGGCCTGGCCATCAACCATGTCACCTCACTGCGAACCCTGTTGCTGTCAGATGTCACGGGAAGAACAAACAGGCATCCAGCCACACATCAGCCTGATAGACTGGTGGTCATCTTGGGCAAGATTTCCATGCCATCAACAACAGCCAACTCATACACCCTTTTTGGACTGTTACCTATCTGGACTTAAAAGATACCTTCCTCTGTTTGTGAGTTGCTCCCATAAGCCCCTTCAACTGGGAAAATCCTGAGAAGATGCAACTAACTGAGACTCATTTTCCACAAGGGGTGAAGAGCTCTCCCACTATTTTTGGGGAAGATCTAACAACAGATTTGGCCAAGCTACCAGCACCTTTTCTCCAAGGTGTCTCTGTCCCTTCCTGCTCCATCATGGTGCCCCAAGCAAACAGTATAGACCGTCAAAATGTTAAAACACACCTTTCCTGCCTGTAAACAAGATCTCTGAGTTGCCAATACTGCCTCAATTGCCATCCATATATATTGCCTCAGTCTTCTGCCACCCACAGCCTGCTGGTATACCTGCCTGGACCTAAAGAACACTTTCTTCTGCCTTCAGTTGGCTTCTGTCAGCCAGTCCCTCTTCACAAAGACCCCAGTTCTAGACTCAACAGCCAGCTGACCAGGACTCGACCTCTCAGAGGTTCAGAACCTTGTTTCCTTCCTTTTAGAAAAAGCACTTCTGATTAAGGACATTCAAGCTGCCTACTGAAAGGACACAAAAGCTCTGCTACAATATCTGGCAGAAACTAGTTACAAAAAAGAAACTCTGCAAATTTCTTGGAGCTGCTGGCTACCATAAAATCTGGGTCCTTGAGTTCACAAAAACAATGATACTTATTCAGACTGTCAGCCCCTGGGAGCATCCAGTGTCCCACCTGTGATTCGGTTGCTAAGGGCCGCCTCTCCCCTTTTTCCTCTGTGCTCCAATAGCCAATGTCCTCCTGATCAAAAAAGCTGACAAGCTCACCTTAGGCCAAGATCTAACTGTCCAGGTACCATATGCTGTGCTGGACCTCATCTAGTACCGAGGCAAAGTTCTTAAACTGACTCCCCGTACCAGCCCACAGAGCTGGGCCCAACAGACTGTGACTGCCTGGCACTGTTTGATAAACTGTTGTTGAGCCAATCAGACTTAAAAAATGGACCCTTGACAGATGCTGAGTACATCCTATTCACAGATGGAAGTAGTTTTGTTAGTAATGAGCTCTAACAGGCTAGATATGCTCTGGTCACCTTGCACAAAACTATTTTGACCAAAACGCTCCTGTGGGTATGATCTGCACAGCAAACTGCTTCGTGTTGTTGTTTGGAAACCTACCACCAATGACACAAAATACTTCAATCCAGAGGTGTAAATCCTCCCTGGAGATCCAACTGACTAAAACCAGGTATAGTACTCTCTGAATATCAGAGCCAGACTTGCTTCCACCCTTGGTTATGCAAGCTCAAGACAAGCACTGGCACCCATACCCCTGAAGCCACCTCAGGCTTCAGAGTCTGTGTCACTGATCTCCACCCCTCAGATATCTGTTGGTGCTTATATGTACTTACTCAGGCTGGCCTGAAGCATTCTCTGTCTGAGCTGAGAGGCAATAAAAGTTTGTAGGGTCCTGCTGTAAAAAATCATCCTTAGATAAGGCCTACCCTTGATTATTGGTAGCAATAACAGGCTTGCATTTGTAACAGAGCTAACTACAAAAACTAGATTAAGTAAAAACTACATACCACATACAGGCCACAAAGCTCTCAAAAAAAGTTTTTTAAAAAAGCTTGTAACTCACACACGTACAACCCAGGTACATGCTACCTACCTCGGCAAGTTTCAGAAATCCAACTTTAGACCTGCTGAAAAATTTACCTGGACCAGACAGTTCACTCTGAAGAGACAATGCACTCAGAGTCTTGCCCTGGGCACTCTGGATGCTGACCAGTCCATGCACAACCGAAGCCTGAGGACACAGTTCACGGAATTGCTCCATATCTATTCCCCTTGATTTTTGTGTCTTTTTAGGCTGCTTACCCCAGTCCTTGCTTCCACACCCTCTGCTAGCTGGATTTTTTTTTTTTTTTGCCCCAAACTCTATGGATAGTTGCCCCAAGAGAATAGAATAATCAATCAAGATTTGCCCAAGAGTTTTTGAGAGTCCAAGACACATTGAACACTCTTGTAGGTCAGATTAACTCCCCCACTCCTTTGCCAGAGTAATGTTACAGAACAGACAGGCCTAAGTTATGTCTCTTCCTAAAAATAACTTAGGGAAAACTCAGTAATAAGAAAATCTTGGGGAGCTTGGCTAGGGCCTGTCCTAGGATCACTGACAATCCTAATGTTACTGCTTCTAGTTGGACCTTGTCTCAGAGCATCACATGTAATGTGCTCAGCAAAGATTTGTGGGGCAAACTAAAAGAGGGAGGAAATATAACAGAACCCCCCGCCTCAGCCAGTATACCTCAGTTTTGTTAGTTGCCCAGGTAATAATTCTTGTTCTAGTTCTGGTTGCTTCTCTCTCTTAGAAATGGTTGGTCACTGTGATGCATAGCTGGTCACTATGACTCACATTGTATAAACCAATCCCCAATTGACAAGCCATTCTGCCTCTGTACTTCCTGTTTTCTTATCCCATATAAATCCTAGACCAGCAAAGATCAGGGCCTGACATTCTGGGAATGATTCCGATCACTATGCATTGATGTAAATAAATCTGCCTCCAAATACTGGGTATTGTTTCAGTCTTTCTGCTTGTTGTTGCCTTGGTAAAGGTGAGTTAATTCATCTCTGATCATTCTTATCTTTTCTGCAAAGGGTTTGACCAATGTTCCAGATATTTCAAGCCACCTGAGGTTAATACTGAAAGCTACTTGAACTTGATAAATCACAAATAATCAAATAAAAATATAAGGACAGGAACAACAGAGAATTCTGTGTATTTGCTGTGATAACAAGAGTCTGACCCAATCCTCTGGCACTCACAATCATAGCATCAGAATGCAGACCAATGACAAGAATATTTGCCATCATAAACATAAGGTTTTTTCTTTTTCTGATATATACTTTGTTTTTAATTTTTATTTCTATTTTTCTCCTTGTACCACCTCTAGTGCCCCTTTATCTTTTTTAATTTTTATTTTTATTAGTTAATGTTTGCAATACATAATGATTACATTCCCTATATGCAGTTGGAACATGGACATAACACATCTTAATTTTTTATACATCCCCCCTCTCCTTACGCCATCCTTCCATCTCTTGGTCCCCCTCCATTTTACAAAGGATCGATCTCCCTCTTTCCTAAAAATCTGTCTTTTATTTTGCTTTTTAATATATCTACACTTGAAGTTTATCATATGAGAGAAATCATTCAGTATTTAAGCTTGTTTATTTTACTTAACATTATTCACCTACCATTATTAATATGTATTTAAGCCACTGTGTTAACAATACTACTGGTGATCTCTTCCTCTTAGATATTTACTACTATACCATGAGGCACGGTGTAAGCCACTACAGTTATTTGTTATTTTGATGGTTGATAATGGGTAAGACCAGAAGTTTCAGCCAAGAAGTTTTTGAACTTAGTGTGACAAAAGTAAGCAAATCCCAGGAAAGAATATGGTAGAGTTGTGAGTTAACATTGCAGTATGGATCTTTTCAAAGACAAAAGGCTAGAGCCACCAATGATTATATTTCAAGAGATAAAATGAACATATTAGTAAACATGAATCTCTTCCTTGAGGTCACTTTTTAAGATAAACCATTACAAAAACTTTTCCAGGAAAGAGTAACTGGGAAGGTGAGTGGTCTGGTAGAACTGGTACTGAAGAACAGCTAGACATTCCTGTGTAGCCCCAGAGGAAGGGAGGATAAAAGATAGAGAGATTATGGCAGAGATGATCCCTAAATCTGAAAGGAGTAGACACATGTAGGAGAGTAAGTGAATAGATTCTGACTGGCTCCCTGAAGTAGATTTTACTTCTATGTAGGAAGGAACGCCTGCCATTGAGCTATCTTCCACATGTGACTATTTTGTAAACCAACTCCTGCGTTACACATTTAAGAAGGGGCTGACCAATAGGGTAGCAGAGGGCTTGCCTCCAGTGGACCTGAGACTGAACCCAATAACGTCCATTCTGAATTAGTGAAAAAATCCTGCATATGACTTTTGGCTTGCATTTCCATAGATTTTTAGATGATGTCAGTTTCATAAGGGTTTATAGGGACTATAGTAGCAGTATGGACACAGGATGCTACAGTGAGGGTCACACTGTGCTTTTCAAAAATGTTTTTATTGTTCATTTTTTATTATGATGGCTTTGCAGATTTCCAGGAAAAAACTCACTCATTCATACATTCATTCATTCATACATTTATTGATGGCCTACTGTGGGCCACACATCAAGTATGCTGAGAGCAGGGTGCAGAAGACCCAATCATACCCTGAAAGACTGATTGAAGGAGATGTGTCTACACACAGCTAGAGTAGGAACCAGTTTTTTCTGTCCATAAAGTTGGAGAACAAATGGTTCATAGTTGGGGTAAGAGCAGGGGAACTCAGAAGCAAGGGTAATACGTCCAGTTCTTGCAATTTCCCTGGGACAAGTAAGGAAAATCAAGAAAAAGGAGCTTGAAAGCACCTAGGGATCTTTCTGACATTCAGTGAACTTATCTAAGGAAGATGTCTAAATGGAGCACTATTAATGTGGGGGGATTGGTGAGTGGGCGTCTAATGAATCAAAGTATATTAAATTGATTTCTAAAAGATATTCACTTCAAGAAGCTCCAGCTTTGTCCTGAAGGGTTAGTACTGAAGTCTTTTCTCTTTTCTCCTTTAGCTTCCAGGAAGTCCATAGCTTTGCTTCTGGCAAGGCTCTGCCATGGGGCCCCCTGTGTGCAGCCATGGCCAGCTGCCACTCCCTGATCCTGCTCAATGAGACCATCCAGGGGGACCCTCTGGACCTCAAGATGTTTGAAGCCACCACCTGGGTAAGCCTCTGCCTTTTAGGAAGTCTGAGAAGCTTCTTCAATGTCAGTGCAATGTAGACCTCATTAATACTTAGAAAAATGTAAGTTTTCCAAATGGAACAAAGGGCAAACTAGTCTAAGGCTGGTTTCCTCATAAGTATAGTGCAGCTGATAATTTTATCTATGTTACAGGATTATTGTGAAGATTAAATGA